CCCCCCCCCCCCCCGCTGACCAGCCCCCACCCCCGCTGACCAGCCCCTTTCTCTCCAGACCGACTGTTTCAATTACATCCGCTTCCTCCAGAGCTACAACAGCTCCCACCTGTACGCGTGCGGCACCTTCGCCTTCCAGCCCAAGTGCACCTACATTGTGAGTACAGCCCGGAGCAGTGCGCCCCCTGCTGGACGGGACGGGGCTGGGCTGGCGGAGCCGGGAGCTCCCACTGCAGCCAGCGGTCCCGCCCTACTCCCCACATTGCCCCCTCCTGGACGGGTCGGGGCTGACGGAGCCGGGAGCTCCCCCTGCCCCATTCTGCCGGCAGAGGCTGGGAGTCCGTGGTGGGGACCGAAGCAGGGGATGCTGACGGGCGCTGCCCGCTAGGTGGACGATGGCCGGTGTGGAGCTGTGCCGAGCGTGGGGCATTCTCAGACCCTGCCGTGGGCCCAGCACAGCCCTGTCTCTGCAGGCAGCTTCCCGCCGGGCCCCATTGACCCTACGTGTGGGGCATCTCTTCCAGGAGCTGTCCAGTTTCTCCCTCAACAGGCTGGCCTTCGAGGACGGGAAGGGGAAGTGCCCCTACGACCCGGCCAAGGGCCACACGGGCCTCATCGTGGGTAGGTGGCGCCCTTTGGGGGGGCTGGGCTGGGAGGTGTCCGGCTGGGCTGGGGTCTGGGACAGGGCCCAGGGCACCCGGGCTGGGAGCGGGAGGCTGGTGGGTATTTCTGCCCCACGCATCCAGTTAACCCCTTCTTGGTCGTGCTGTCCAGATGGCGAGCTGTACTCGGCGACGCTCAACAACTTCCTGGGCACGGAGCCGGTGATCCTGCGCAACCTGGGTCCCCACTACTCCATGAAGACGGAGTACCTGGCCTCCTGGCTGAATGGTGAGGGGGGGGGGCTGGAAACCGGGGGCACGGGTCACACAGTAGCTCATGCAGCCCCCTTTCTGTGGGGGGAGGGACTTTCACTGCCCCCAGAATCAGCCCATCCCACTGTGGGTCTGGCAAGCGGTCAGGTCCCTGCCCAGGATTGAAGCCCCAAGTGTGGGTCTCTCCCCACGTGGCATCCGGCCGGGGGGGGGGGGGGGGGCTGTTTTTGCGGCACCGGCGGGGGGGGGGCGGGTCCTGCAGCAGCCTGGGGGTGCCGTTGGAGGGGGCGCAGCCGGGCCGTCTCCAGAGGGCGTGTGGCTCCAAGCGTGACAGCAGGGCCGGCTCCAGGCACCAGCCTGGCAAGCAGGTGCTTGGGGCGGCCGCTCTGGAGAGGGGCGCCTGCTTCGGAGTGGGGCGGCACGTCCAGCTATTCGGCAGCAATTCGGCGGACGGTCCCTCACTCCAGCTCGGAGCGAACGATCTCCCACCGAATTGCCGCCGCAGATCACGATCGCGGCTTTTTTTTTTTTTTTTTTTTTTTACTGCTTGGGGCGGCGAAAACCCTGGAGCCGGCCCTGCGTGACGGGAGGCAGCCAGGAGGCTCCTCCCCACAGCACGGGGTTTGGGGGCCCGAGCGAAGAGCTGGGGGGCTGTGGGGCCCACGAGCCCTGGTCTCATGTGCCCCCCGTTGCAGAGCCCCACTTCGTGGGCTCGGCCTACGTGCAGGAGAGCGTGGGCAGCCCCAGCGGGGACGACGACAAGGTCTACTTCTTCTTCAGTGAGCGGGCTGTGGAGTACGACTGCTACGCCGAGCAAGTGGTGGCCCGCGTGGCCCGGGTCTGCAAGGTACGGCCGGGGCGCTGTGGCAACCAGCCCTCGGGCAGGGGCCCGTGCCGGGCGGGAGGGGTGCCCAGAGACACTGCGGCGTGGCCGGAGCCCGTGGGCCAGGCCGGGCCCTGCCCTGAGCAGGAATGGGCCCAGCTGGGTACGGAGCTCGCTCCAGGCCTGAGCCCGCGGCCGGTGCGAGGGGACCCTGGTGGTGGCCTGGTGTCATGGGGGCAGAAGACCTCCCGGGACCCGGGTGCCAGGCAGTGGGGCTCTTGGAGTCTGGCCTGTCCCGCCCCCTCACGTAGTGCCTCCCTCTGCCCAGGGGGATGTGGGCGGCGCCCGGACCCTGCAGAAGAAGTGGACGACATTCCTCAAGGCCCGGCTGGTCTGCTCCATCCCGGAGCAGCAGCTGCACTTCAACCGGCTGCAGGCCGTGTACACGCTGGGCGGGACCACCTGGCGCGACACCACTTTCTTCGGCCTCTTCCAGGCTCGCTGGTGAGCACGGGAGCCCCGGGCCACTGGGCATCCCCATGGGCCCTGCAGCCTCCATCCCACCTACACCGACTGCTGCCTGCTGGGGGACCTCCGCCCCTCTGTAGCCGGTGCCAGCCCCGCCATTGGGCCTGTCTCCCCAGGGCTGCCCCCCAACTCTCACACGTCCACCATGGCAGTAGCTTTCCCCTGGCTCCCTCCCACCCCCCAGGCTCTGCCCTGGCCATCACCCTCCCTCCCCACCCCCCATCCTTCCAGCACCCCCAGCCCCAGCTCCACGCCGGGTCTCACCCCCCCTCCCTCCCGCAGGGGGGACGTGGACGTCTCTGCCGTCTGCCAGTACCACATTGAGGACGTGCGCAAGGCCTTCGAGGGGCCCTACAAGGAGTACCGGGAGCAGGCCCAGAAGTGGGGCAGGTACTCGGACCAGGTGCCCAGCCCCCGGCCTGGGGCGGTAAGTGCCACGGGGACCGGGGAGACCCAGCCATCACAGTGGGGAGGCCAGCTGCTCTCATCTCTGCCAGGGGCCACCCCCCCCCCCCCCGAGCACTCAGCAGTGCCCCCTCGGGGGCTGGGTTGGCACTCGCTAATCCCCACCCCCACCCCGGGCTGCCCTGGGAAGTGCCACCCGCACTCCCTGCCTGCCAGGGTCCCTCCCCCCAGTGCGGGCACTTCAGCTGCCTCTACCCCCCAGGCTGCCAGCTGAGCTATGCCCTGCCCCCCAGGTTGGTGGTGTCCTCTGCCCTCACTTGGTGCCCGGCCCCACTGTGACCCGGCCCCTCTCCCCTCAGTGCATCACTGACTGGCACCGGCAGAATGGCGTCGCCAGCTCGCTGGAGCTGCCCGACAACACGCTGAACTTCGCCAAGAAGCACCCGCTGATGGACGAGCCGGTGCTGCCGCGCCACGGCCGGCCCCTGCTGCTCAAGAAGGACGCCAACTTCACCCGCCTGGTGGTGGACCGGGTGCGCGGGCTGGATGGGGTCTCCTACAACGTGCTCTTCATTGGGACAGGTACTTGCCAGGGCTCTGCTCCCCTTTACCCCCCACCCCTCCAATCTCTGGGCCCTTGAGCCAGCCTGGGCCCAGCCCTGCCCAGGGAGTGGGGGGGTAAAGGGGCAACTCCCAGCCGCATGGCGCAACAATGCTGGGGGGGCCGCTTTGGGAGCTGCTGAGCATGTGATGGGGGCAACTTGGGAGGTGCATCTCCCAGCATGGGGCGGCCTAAGGGTTCCTGAGGGCGCTAAGGGGGTGGTACAGGAGTGATGGGGGGTGCCCAGGGCCCCTCCCCTGCCCACAGCTCCCTGCAATCCTGCCCTGTGGCTCTTCCAGGTGACGGGTGGCTCCACAAGGCCCTGGTCCTGCCCTCCCGCGTCCACCTTGTGGAGGAGCTGCAGGTCTTCGAGCCGGCGCAGCCCATCGAGAGCCTCGTGCTGGCCCACCAGAAGGTAGGGAGCAGGGCACCTTGGGGACAACCGGGTGTGGAGGGGGGGCAGAGCACAGGAGGTGGAGGGGGTGCCCTGGGCTGTTGGGGGGGCAGAGTGCAGGGGATTGGGGGGATGCCCTGGACTGTGGGGGGGCCCCATGGATAATGGGGGTGCCATTGGGGGGGTGGGGCACAGGGGGCAGGGATAACCAGGGGGGTTGTTGGGGGGGGGGGGCACGGGGTATGGGGCAGTGATGGCTCTAGGCTGTCCCATCAGCACTGATGTCTCTCTCCCCTCCCCCACTCCCCCAGAAGCTGCTCTTTGCCGGCTCTCGCTCCCAGGTGGCGCGGCTGTCCCTGGCCGACTGCACTAAGTACCGCTCCTGCGCCGACTGCGTCCTGGCCAAGGACCCCTACTGCGCCTGGAGCCGCAATGCCAGCCGCTGCCTCCGGGCTGACGGCTCTGACGGGTGAGGGGGCTGGCCTGGGGGCGGGAAAGTACCCACATAGGGGGTAGGAAGGGGTTGTCATTGCAGTGCCCCCTCTAAGAGGGCCCTGATTAGCATCTCTCTGCCCTGCCCCATGGGAAGGTCTCCCCCCACCTGCCCCAGGGCTCTGGCTCCCTTCCGGAGCATGGCCCAAGGGGCAGTGACTGCAGCTCGGTGCCCCGCAGGGGACAGCTGGGGCTGTGCTGACTCCGGGTCTCTCTCAGGTCCCTGCTGGTCCAGGACGTGGTGAACGCGGACACGGCTCTCTGCAACCTCCTCCGAGCACCCCCCTCAGGTGAGAGGTCACCAGCGCCCCTCTCCGGGCCGGGAGCTCCCTGGGAGCCAAAGGGGCTGGGGAGGGGGCCTGCACTCTGTTAGCTTGGGGGGGGGCCCTCTCAGCTCAGGCTTGAGAGCCAGGACTCCTTTGGCTCTGCTGCTGATTTGCTGCTCCTCTCTGTGCCTTAGTTTCCCCAGCTGGACAGCAAGGCTGACTGGTGCTGAGGTACCTGCCCAGGAGCAGTGGGGCGCAGGGCTGAAGCTGCCCTGGGTTCCCCTGTCCCAGGGCCTCTCCTGGGTTGTCCCGGGGACCTGGGTGAAGGGCACTCAGCCGAACATCTCCCGTACCCGCCCTACAGCCCACAGTGACACCCCCCCCCCGCGCCGGTCCTGGCACAGCCCAGGTGTGTCCATGTGTCCAGCTCCTGTGTGAAACCAGCAGCAGTGTCAGAGCCCACAGGGCATGTGCCATCTCCAGGCTGGTCCCTGCAGCCTCAGCAAAGAGGCCAAGGCCCTGGGGCTGGCATCGCCCATGGGGCATCGCTGTGGGATGGGCAGAGGGTCCAGCCCCCACCTCAGCCTGACCCCTTCTCCCCTCTGTCCCGCAGTTAAAGTCACTCCCAAGAACATCACAGTGGTGGCCGGCACGGACCTGGTCCTGCCCTGCCGCCTCACCTCCAACCTGGCCGGGGCTCGCTGGACCTTCAATGGGCGGGAGCTGGCCGAGGACCAGGCCTCGGTGCTGTACGACGCCCGCCTGCAGGCCTTGGTCATCCTGGGCACGGGCCCCCAGCATGGTGGTGCCTACCGGTGCTTCTCCGAGGAGCAGGGCACACGCCTGGCAGCTGAGGGCTACTTGGTGTCGGTGGTGGCAGGCCCGGCCGCCACACTGGAGGCGCGGGCCCCGCTGGAGAGCCTGGGGCTGATGTGGATGGTGGCGATCGCGCTGGGTGCCCTGTGCCTGGTGCTGCTGCTGGTGGTGCTGTCCCTGCGGCGCCGGCTGCGGGAGGAGCTGGCCAAGGGCACCAAAGCTGTGGAGAGCACCCTGGTGTACCCCATCGAGCTGCCCAAGGAGCCCCCCAGCCCCAAGTTCGTTCCCAGCGCCACCTCGGACTCGGACGAGAAGCTCTGGGACCCGGCCAGCTACTACTACTCGGATGGCTCCCTCAAGATCGTGCCAGGCCACGCCGTGTGCCAGAACGGCTCGGCCACACCCTCGCCCCCCACCAATGGCATCCCCGGGCAGCCCCTGGCCTCCCCGCCCCCGCACTCGCCCAACCGCATCCACCTGGGCAGCGTCCGCGGCTCCTCCTCCAACGGCTACATCCGCCTGCAGCTGGGCGCCGAGGAGCGGCCCGGCTACAGCGACCTGGCCGAGGAGCTACGCCGCAAGCTCCAGCAGCGCCAGGCGCTGCCCGACTCCAACCCCGAGGAGTCCTCGGTGTGAGGCCGGGGCTGCGGGCCTCTGACGCAGGCACAGCTACCTCAGACCCGGCCGGGGGCACCGGGCTCCCCTGCCCTGCCCAGCCGGGACGCACGTGGGACCCTTTTTCTAACGACTTCGGTGGATTTTGATCCCCCCGTGGCCGCTGTCCGTATTTCAGTGGATCGGGCCCATTCCGGAGCTCGCCTGGGCCCTGGGAACGGCTGGTTAGGATGTATGGGCAGGTCCTGGATGGACGGACAGAGGGGACGCACGAGTCTGCCCCGGATTCTGGATGGACGGAGCCTACTTAGGACCTGGTGCCTGGAGCAGATGCGGGCGGGATTTTGGAGGCCGGCTCGCCCGAGAGGCACAGCCTGGTGCTGTTGGCTGCTGGCTGGACCCCCCTTGTGACAGCACTATCCGGTGGGTGCCTGGGGTGGCCACTGGCATGTGGATCCCTTCACCCACTGCTGGGTGGGAGTGAGGGCAGACCCAGAGCTGACACAAGGTGCCCTCCCAGTAATGCTGGGCAGGACTGCATTGCACGCTGGGAACAGGGCACCCGTCCCGATTACCTGTGGGCTGCAGTCCCTGGAGGGGGGGGAGTCGGCTCTGGCCTTCTCCCTGCCCCCCCCCGAAGGTCGTGCCCCATGGCCTGCATGCTGGTGATGGGCCAAAGGTGTCCTTGTGCCTGGGGGGGCGGCAGTGGTGGAATGGGGGGCTGTGTTCCTGTGCCCCCCCTAGGCCAGCTCAAACCACAGAGATGGACTTGGTGACTTTGCCACACCCCCTCTCTGAGGGGTGGGGGGTACCAGTGTAAATACCCCCCCACACCTAACCTGGGTCCCTGCCTCTTGGCCAAGCCAGTTCCTGCCCCAGCTACCCCCGATCCCGCACGCCAGCTGCCTCCCCCACCCCCTTATCAGTGTAAATAAGCAGCAAGGACCCCCTGACCCCAGTGTAATTTATTTGTTATTGAAATATATTTATTGGCTGTAAATACTGGAGTATTTTTATATTAATAATAAAAGGGAGAGAAACTCCAGCTGGTGCCTGTTGCCTTGTGGGAGGGAAGGGGAGGGGAGGGGGGGGGCTGGTGCCCTCGCTTGGTGCCGGCAGATGCTGTGTTCTGTGCCTGGCTCTGCTGGGGTGGGGGTCAGTGTGGGGGTGGGCAGTTAGTGCTGTCCCCCCCCCAACTCAGCCCATGCGTTTTGTAGCTAGCGCTGCCCACTGCATGTGCGCGCACACACACACGCGCACACACCCGGCACTGAACTGTGGCCCGGGGCTTGGCCCCCAACCTGATCTCCCACCGCGTGGGCCCTGCACCCCTTGCCCGAGGTGTCTGGGCCACAGCGCGGGAGCCCTGCCCTGGCTGGGGGAGGGCTGTTCCCGGCCCCCGCCTGTGAGCTCATGGAAAAAGGAGCAGGCGGGCTATAAAAGGGCATTGAGTCTTCCCGGAGTGGAAAAAGCTCCGTGCTCCCCTGGGAGCTGGCCTCCCTGCCAAGGGGAAGGGGGGCCCCCGCCAGGCCTGGAGTGCTCTTAAAGCAGCAGCCCCAGGGTCTCTGCCTAATCGGGGCTGGGGGGTGGGAGGTTTCTGTGGCTTGGGGGGAGCCTCTTGCAGCTTTTTCTCCCCTCCCCAGCCCCCCTCTGCTCCCACCCCTCTTGGGATCAGCGCACGGGCTGGCTGGGGTCCCTCCCCCAACATAAGCCAGGACCCCCGGGTTTCATCTGCTCTGGCACTGCCGCCATGTGCCCAGGCTCACGTCCCTATGGCGAGGGGCCTGATCCTGCTGCGCCCCTATGAGGACAGGCACGTGTGGATCTGTGCTGTGCTCTGCCTGCCCTGGGGCATCAGGCTAGGGGGGCTCAGGGCACCCCACTGATCATCTCACTCGCTGGCATTTGAATCCTCCCCTCCTGCCGGCTTAGTCCCAGCATCCCTGCCTGCAGGCGCCTCTCAGAACTGTGCCCCCCCCCCCCCCAGCATGTGACAAGCTCTGCCTTGAAAGCCACAGGCCTTCCCTTTGCCAGGGTGATGGTGATTGTACCCAAACCCCAGAGCCTGAGAGATCCCCCAGTCTCCCTCCTGCCTGGCTCTGCCTCACGCTCTCACTAAAGCACAGGTGCCGCTTCGAACATTCGCTGCCACCTTGTCACTGTCCAGGTGAGCTGAAGCCAGAGCAAGTGCTAATCTGCTTAACCCTCTAGGGGCAGAGCTGGTCAGGCTTCCTGGGCAGGGCCAGCGCCCCGCTCACTGGAGGGGTGATGTGAAAGTGGGGGAGGGGGTTGGCACCTGGCCAGGTTCCCCCAGGAGCAGCCCTGTGGGGAGCTCCCAGGAGTCTGGCCAGAGGCTCGGTCCCTGCTGACAGCTGTCTGCTTGGCGGGGCCTCAGCGCTGGCTGCTCTCGGGGCTGGCTGGCCTGAGCCCCAGTCGATCCCGGTTAAATCCACACGAAGAGCCGGGCTCTTTCTCACCATCTGACTCCCCTGTAGTCCAGGGGTCGGCAACCTCTCAGAAGTGGTGTCCCACTCTTCATTTATTCATGGTCATTTAAGGTTTCTTGTGCGGATAACACATTTTACATTTACAGGGGCCGGCGGACGGAACCCCGGGCCGGCAGTGGGCCGAGTGGGGCCGGGACCAGGGGCCGGCAGTGGGCCGAGTGGGGCCAGTGGTGGCGACCCCGGGCCAGCAGGGGGCTGAGTGGGGCCGGGACCAGGGGCCGGCAGCAGGCTGAGTGGGGCTGGTGGCCGGGACCAGGGCTCGGCAGCAGCGTGCCACAGTAAATCAGCTTGTGTGCCGCCTTTGGCATGTGTGCCATAGGTTGCCGACCCCTGCGTAGTCCAAGCTGTGCAGCGTCTATGGGGACCGGCGTGATCCTGCTGGGGGTGCCATGAGCTCAGGGCCCTTCCCTGCCCCCAGGCCCTGGCCCCTGGGTATGGATGGGGCTGTCCTGGCCCCCTGCAGGCCAGTGCCATAGCGCCCCCTTGTGGTGGGGGAAGGAGCTGGTACTATTGAGCCTTTGCCAGAGGGGCAGTGGACCCTGGCCAGCCCCTGGGGCGGGGCATGTGCCATGTTGGGCCCAGGCAAGGGGTCTGCTTTCTCTAGCCCTTCGGCAGTGGGGCAGGGGTGCTCCGTGGGGCTGGGGGGGAGGGTGGAGCAAAGCAGGAAGGTGGGAGGGGAGAGGATCACGGTTCCTGTGCTGCAGGGAGGCCTTCCCGGCCGGGCGGCTCCTTCCCATGGCTGTGCAGCACCAGGACTTGCTCTCCAGTCCTGGCTCCATGTCTTTGCTAATTAATTACCAGAAACAGCTGGAGAAAGCAGAGCCAGCAAAGGGAGGGGGGGTGTGCATGGGCCATCCCCCCCCCTCCACAGCTGGAGAGCTGCCCAAACCACTTCCCTCATAACTGATCCTCATGGGAGCGTAGCATTGCTCCTCCCGCCCACCCCTTACAGCTGGGGAAACCGAGGCAGAGCCAGCTCAGGCCACCCAGCATGTTGGCACCCAAGCTAAGAGGAGATCCCAGGAACCCTGACTCCTAGCCCTGCCTCAGAGCAGGTGGCTGGGTCTGTCCCTGCCTGTGGCCATGCGAGGGGCTGCCCCTGCTCCAGGCATGCAGCACAGCAGATGTGGCCATGCTGGGCCCTTGCCAGTCGCAGCACAGTGGCCAGGGGATGTGTCAAGGAGGAGTGGGAGGGAGGGAGGCAGGAGCTGCCAGGAAGCCCGGGCTGTGGGGACAGAACCGTGTAGGCTGGGAGCCGGCCGGCCGCAGAGGGCTGGGGGGAGCTGTGGCCTGAGGCCAGGTCCCCCCTCACCCTTCCAATGAGGGGCTCACCAGCACAGCGCTGGGTCCTGCCAGTGGGGTTTTGCTGGGCCTGCTCTCAGAGCCCCAGGTTGGTGGGTGTGGTGCTGCCTGGCCAGCTGGTGGTGGCTCTGCCAGGGGCCTGGGACAGGCTCCCACGGGCCGCTCCCCGAACCCGAGAGTGGCTTTGGGCTGTCCCGTGGTGGCTCTGCCTGTGCACGTCCTCACTGGCTCTTCATCTTCCTGCCCTGAGGAGAACTTCTGGGAAGCAGCTTGTGTAACAGCGGCGTGTCCCGGGGCTGGGCCGCTCCCCCCAGCCCTGCAAGGGGTGACCTTCCCACGGGGCTGCCCCTCGGCAGGCAGATCACCCCTCTGCCAGCTGGGGTTCTGGGGCGGGTGGGCCAACAGGCCGGCCTGGCACCCCAGTGTTTCTAGGGAGACCCTAGCACGGGTCGGTCCATAGGGTGCTGGGGAGGGGCAGGGGCACCTGTTGCCATCTGGGGGGCCCTTCCTGCCAGCCCCCTCCCACCTTGCAAGGGTTACTGAATTCAGCCCCCCCACATTGTACTCCTGGGGACACTGGGGGGGCTGGCCAGTGGCTGCAGCGCCCTCTGTTGCCTCAGCCGGCGCCCACAGCTGGATGCGCTCGCATGTGAAATTTCCATGGGGAAATTCCAGTCTCCGGCCCCTCTCTGCCATGGGGCCTGCTGCCAGCGTGATCCCAGAGTTGCTCAGTGGGGGGAGGGGGGAATGTGACAAGGGCCCCGAGCCCAGCGACGTACCAGCGTGCGTCAGACCCAGCCCAGGCCCAGCCCACTAAGGAAAACAAACACGAGCTCAGCTGGGAAAAGAACTGTCCCAGAAAGAGCGCCGGCCCCGTTCCCAGCTTTTCCCACGGCAGCAGGCTGAGCCCACCCGGCCCCTCAGAGCGCAGGGGGCAGCGCTGGGAATCCTGGAGTGCAGCTTGGCCGCTGTCCAGCTGGCAGGGCTGGGGGAGGGAGATGGGGTCAGGGCGGCCATGTGAGACCCAGGGATAGGGTCACAGGTTTTCCCAGCACTGGTGCCTGGCTCAGTGGAGCTAGGCCCAGTCCCCAAAAGCGACACAGGGATTATGCTTGATTATGGGAAATGGGGCTGCAGAGCTCCCCGATCCCCCAGGAAAGCACCAAGGGGCCATGTTCTCTCCGTGGCTTCTCTGGCCAGCCTGCTCCTCCCACCCTGCTGCCCTGGACCCTTGGCCCGAGGCAGAGATGGACGTTGCTGGGCCATTCAGCTGTGCTGTCCCCTGGACCCATGGCAGTCTGGGGCGCTCGTTCCTTCGTGGCCACCCCACACAGGAAGAAGCTTCATGAAGAGGAAAGAGACAGCAGCAATCGTGTTTAATGGTTAGAGCATGGGGCTGGGTATCAGGACACCTGGGTTCTATTCCCCGTGCTGGGGGGGGGGGGTGTACTTTAGTGGTTAGCACAGGAGAGACAGTCAGGACTCCTGGGTTCTATGCCAGGCTCTGGGAAGGAGCACAGTCTAGTGGTTAGGGCAGGGTGTCAGGTTCGAGTCTCAGTTTTTCCAGTCACCGGCAATCTTGCGTGTCCCAGGTGAATCGGTGACTCCATGCCAGGGGCGGGGGGAGGCTCTGCCTGGCCGCTGCTTCCTGGCACTGCCGGGTCGGGTCCTTTCCCCTGGAGGAATTCGGCTCAAGGGAGAGGCAGCTCTTGGGGGAAGCCCGGCTCTGCTCTCATGGCCCTAGCTTCCCAGCCTGGGAAAGGGCAGCTCCTCGGGGCCAGGTTATGCAGCCCTGCAATGAATGGGAAGCTGACGCAGGGGCTGGCTGCTGGGACGTCCCCTTCAGGCTACGTGCTGCAGCTCAGCGTGGGAAAGGCCAGATCCCCCTGAGCCAGCCGGCCGGCCCCCCACGAGCCCCCATGGGAACCTGGGCGGCGATGCCAGCACAGGCTGCCCCAGGGAAGAACAGCCTCCTCCTGCAGCCCAGGGGCACGTGCAATCTCTCCAGGAGCGGCCTGGCTGGACCTTTCTTGGGGGAAAGGGGGGGATGGATCATCTCCAGTGTGGCCTTTCCTCAGAGCCCCCCAATGCCAGGGCACCCCGGAGGGCTGCGAGCGGCGCAGGGGAACTGGGGACCCGTGCTGGGTCACCAAGAAAAGGCTGGAATGTGCCCAGGGAAGATCCTTCCCCTCTGGGCCCTTCCCAGCCCACCCCAGAGCTGCTGGTGGCCCACGAGGGAGCGTGTCACCCTGGCGGTTCAGGCCCATGGGTGCAGTTGAGTCTCAGCCAGGGGCCTGGGCCCTTGGGGGGGGGGGGGTTTCAGAAATCCCCCCCCTCCCCCCGCAGCCACCTCCTGAGAAGCGTCTCTTGTTTACAATGGGCTGGACCTGCCCACAAAGTACCCACAATGCATTGCTCGGCCCTCCTGTCCCGGCTGGCACGGCACGGCCCTATGGGAAATTGCTGCAGTCAACAAGCTGCACTGGCCTGTTGCCATGTGGAGCAGCTGGCACCTGCATGCAGCACCTGGGCGGTGAAGTTCCCCGCCCTTCCCTGGCACCGGGCACCGTGGGAAGGGCCTGGCAGGCTCCAGCAGGGGCGACAAGCAGGTTCCTATAACGCCACTGATTGGAGAAGGGCCCAGCCCAGTTCCAGAGCCTGCACCTCCCCCGCTGTTCCCCTTGGCACCCCCGCCACGGCCATCAGCCAGGACCCATTGCAATCCAGCCTGCATCCTGGGACACAGCCAAGGCTGGCCTTCCACCCTCTCCCAGAGTTGCATTAGCCCAAACCCAAGATGAATTGCCCTGTATTAGAGCTGCACCTAGCGGTCCCAGGGGAGATCAGGGGCCTGTTGAGCCAGGCCCTGCACAAAAAGAGTGAGAGACAGAGCCTGCCCAAAGCCATGTAAACCAGAGAGATGAGGAAGGTTCATTAGCCCCATTCTAGAGGGGGAAACTGAGGCAGAGAGGGGCACTGACTGGCCCAGGGTCACCCAGCAAGTCCACAGAAGAGCTGAGAATTGCAACCGTAACACCTCCCCCCGGGCCTCCATGTCAGGGGACGCGCTTCAAGCTCCAGCCACAACAGTGCCAGTGGCTGCCTGGCCTCCTGCTCACCCCGGGCTGCAATCTGAGGGCCTGGCTGGGCCACGCCAGCGCCGAGGAGGGAGCCAGTGCCGGATGTGAGCAGCAGCCCACGGCTCTGAACAGAGGCTGTAATTAAGCCAGGGAGCTCCAAAATGACAGACACCCGGGCTGCATCTGGCCAGGGCTGCCTGTCATTTGGGGTCAGGGCTCTCCCCTAATGGGAAGGCTAGTGGGTTAATTTCAGGGTGCACTTGGGCAGTGTGCGGGGAGCACAGGGCGACAGCTGCAGAGGGGGCCAGCCAAGATGCTGGGAGGGGAGCCCCACCTCACATGAGGTTACCAAACCACGCCAATCGCTGCTGACCCTGCATAGGACAAGTCACTCCCTGTGTGCCCAAGGGGTCACCGGCAGATGGGATAAGGCCCATGCTACAAGAACCATGGGGCAGGGGCCTTGCCTGCCTGGGGGCGATCTGAGCCGCCCCACCGTGTTTGGCTCAGGCCCATCTGGTGGAGGCATGCGTTCGGTGAGTTGGGGAAGGCTTGGCCCAGCTCCCAGGTGCGCCATCCCAACCCTCCCCCTGGTAATTTACACTGATGGGCAGGGCTGCGGGGCTGGAGCTGGAGCTGGCTGGTGGGGAGTTGGCATGGCTCTCTAGCACATCTGTGCCCAAGCTGGGAGCGCTGCTGGCAGGACGGCTGGAAGCTGTGGGCAGCAGGCAGGGCTGGGATCCTGCTCTGGAGCGAGGCCAAGGACAGGCTGTAATGCAGCCACCTGGACGGATCAGGTGTATGGGCATGGCATGTTCCGGGGGGGGGGCTGGGAACTGCAGAGCGAGCTCTCAAAGGAAAGAGCTGGGTGTGGGGCTTGTGCCATGGGTCTGCAGGGCAGGGGAGCAGAGGGAGGGGGGGCCTGTAAATTAGAGGGGCCTCCCCTGCTCCCCCTGGAGCTTTGGGGCCTGTGAAGTTTTTCCCCTGCTTGTCCCCAGGCCCCGAGGCTCGCTTTGCCACAAGCAGTGTGGACGCTTGGTGCTTTGGGGTGGGGGGCTAGCGAGAGGGGCTCCTAGCACTCCTAGTGGTATGGGGGGGGGCTCTCCTCCGTCCCCATCAAGACCTGCTGGGACCTGAGTGTCTGGAGTGAAGGTGGGGGTGGAAGGTTCCAGCCTGATCAAAGCCCCTGCCTGGGTTACCGGGTTACCGGGTTACCGTGTTTCCTGGGTGCCCCTCACAGCCAGTGGGGAGATCGGCTGCCACCTGCCAGGCTCTCCCAGCACCGGCTCCTTTCGGAGGTCGCTGACCCGGAAAGCTGCCAGGTGCTCAGTGCCCACGGCAACGGGCTCGGGATTGTCCCACATGTCCCCGTGGCCGCTCTACTGGGAGAGTGGCCGTGGAGACAGGATGTGCGGGGCACGACCCCCCTGTCCCAGCAGGAACCCTGGGGCCGGTAGCCGCGGCAGAGCTGGAGCCTAGGTCTCAGACTCCCAGCCTGGCACCAGGATGGCTCTTTGCACCCTGGGACATGTCTCTGGACGTCACCCTTCCCTGCGCTGCCCCGTGCCAGCATCCTGCGGGCGCTGCCCTGCCCAGATCATGCCCCTGTGCCCGGCGCGGAGCTGCCCAGCCGCAGGCGAGGCCTGAACGCCACCTCGGTGCAGCGCGTCCGGCCGGGCTCAGCCTGGGCGAAGGCGCCCAGGGCCTGGCACCGCTGGCTGGCACCGCTGGCTGGCACCCAGGCACAGAGACCAGGACACCCAGGCACGGCCGAGGGGGAGCCGGTCCCCCGCCCCCCGGGGCGCACGTGGGAGGAGCCCGGCCTGGCTGCGCCCCCCGCACCCTGCGCTTCGGGCGCCCCCTGGCGGCTCCGCGCTGCCAGCGCGCCCGGGGAACCGGCCGGGGGGCGGGATCTCGGCGCCCAGCGGGAGCCCGGGGCCGGTCAAACGCGGGTCGGTCCGCGCCAGCCGGAACCGGAACCGGGGGACTGAAAACGGGTTGCGCCAAGCCCAGGGCGCCGTTGGCCGGCGTGGGGCTGAGACTGGGGCCCCCCCGGGGATCGGGCCCGCATGGCCTCCTCGGGCCCCCCCGGCTCCTGCTGCTCCCACGGGCCGGCCGTGCCCGGCGTGCACCAGACCGCGGCGGAGATGGGCTTCGGGGGGGGTACCGGGGGGGGGGGGAGCAGGGGCCGGGCCCCCCCCCCCCCGCCCCTGGCAGCGGGGCTGTTCCGCCCCCGGGCGCTTGTCCCAGGGGGCCCTGGAGCGAGCAGCGGGAGATCGCCCCGGGGTGGAGCCCGGCTGGGGAGCCATGGGGGGGGGGGGGGCGGCCCGGGGGGGGGGGGGGGGGGGGGGGGTGGAGCCCGGCTGGGGGACCCTGGGGGGCCCCGTAGCGGCTCCAAGCGGCTGGCGGGGGCTGGGGGAAGCTGCCCGCCTCCCCCACGCCGGGCCCCAGCTCTCGTCTCTCTCTAGGGGTCTGGTCGGCTGCCCTGGACGGGGACCTGGGGCGGGTCCGGAAGCTGCTGGTGGAGAAGCGGGTGGATCCCAGCGAGCCCGACCTGGCTGGCTACACCGCCCTGGTGAGTGCCCGGGCCCGGGGACGGGTCGTGCCTCGGCCGGCCTCCAGGGGGCGCAGCTGAGTGGCCCCCCCGGAGGGCTGTGCCCTGGGGCTGGGGACTCCCTGGGGCACCTGCTACAGGGTGACAGTGACCCGAGTGTGCTGGGTCTCAGTTCCCTGTGGGCAGATGCCTCCATGGTAGGAGCTGCTCTCCGGAGGGTCCTGACCAGCCCTGAGCCCACAGCCTCAGCGGAGCGGCCCCAGGGTCAATGTGTCGGCCTGGGGCAGGGTGAGACCATGGTGGGAGGGGGTATGGGGTGAGCACCAGTGGGGCCGGGGCTGGACTCGCGTAGAAAGCTGCGGCCCCATAACCGCCCTGTCACTCAGACTCACCCAGGTGCAAGGGAAGGGGCATGAGGGCACCGGGCATTTAGGGGAGGAGGGTTCTCAGCAGCAGGTGCCCCTGGTGCCAGCTGGCTGGGTTCAAAGGGGAGAGTGGGATGGGATCCAGCCTTGTGATCTCGTTGCCTGGCCCCCACCCACCTATGCCAGCTCAGCTAGAGAGAGGATTGACTCCAGGCAGCTGACCTGGCACGTGTCTGTGTGCGGATGCTCTTAAATCCGTGTCCATCTGCCTGAGCCCACGCAGGCCATGGCTCGCACCCATTGAGCTAAATCTGCTCTCCCCGGTGTGACGTCTGCGTGTAGACAAGGCCTGGGATTTAATGAACTGGCTGAGGGCTTGGCTGGGAGATCTCGTGGTGGAGGACTGGTTGGATTCCCTAGGGGATGCTGTTCCCCTGGGGGAGAGCGGGCGAGCGTTACCTACCCAAGGCCGCAGTGCTGTGTGCCAGTTCCCTGCATGGTGCTAAAATGCCATGAGTTGGATGGGGTATTAAATGGAGGTTCTTAAACAGCTAGATCCCCTGAAAACTTGTTTTGTGAGCTGGGCTGTGTCCCTCCCCAGAGCCAGCTGCACTTCAGCGTCCTTGGGCCGGGTGTGCAGTGGGCTTTGAGGCATGGGGTGCAGAAGGACCTGTGCGCGGAGGCGGCTCCTGAGGCACCCTCTTCCCTGTGTTTCAAAGCACTATGCCAGCCGCAATGGGCACGGCGCCGTCTGCCAGTTCCTGCTGCAGAGTGGGGCCCGGTGCAACGCCCAGACCCACGGCGGGGCCACTGCCCTGCACCGAGCCAGCTACTGTGGCCACGTGGACGTGGCCAGGCTGCTGCTGGCCCACGGAGCCGACCCCGGCATCGCGGATGACGATGGCATGACAAGTTTGCATAAGGTGTGGGACTGGGGCCCCTCCCTCCACTGTCCCCGTGTCCTTCCCTGTGGCTGGCGGGGGGTCTCAGTGCACACCGCTGCCCCCTGCAGGCAGACCTGCCCCAGCAGGGGTCGCTCGCCCTCTGCTGGCTGGAGCAGACAATGCCACCCCGTTCCTGCAGCCGGGAAAGTTCTGCTCTAGCTCCTGTTCGCGGAGCAGCGGGCTGCAGTTCTGTTCCCCGGGCCCCAGGGCCGAGGTGGTTTGATTGTAGGCTGTGGGCGAGGGGGCTGCAGAGTCAGTGCCCTGTCCTGCACCCCAGCTGGGCCCTGGTTCTCTCCCCTTTGCTGACAGGAGACGTCTCCTTCCTCCCTGGGCATCCTGGTCTAGCGAATACTCCCCTAGGGTCTTTGCCGTACCCTGCCACCCGCCCCCCGGGAGCGTGCCACCCATCCCCCCACCCCACGGGAGCATGCCCCCCACCCTCACTCCTGCTCTCCTTTCGCAGGCCGCCGAGGGAGGCCACCGTGAGCTCTGTGAGCTCTTGCTGCAGCACAGCCCGGGACTGAAGGGCATCCAGGACAGGAGGGCCAGGAGAGCATGTGACCTGGTCCCCAGCAGCGGCGCCTTGCGGGACCTCCTGGAGACCTGAGAGCAGCACGCGGGGAGGGGGGTGGCCCTGTGCCAGGGTGCGCTGGGCTTTGTCTCCCCCTCTTGGCCTGCGGCGGGATTGCAGCACCCTGGGCTCTGAGCGTGCAGCCATGGGGTAATCTGGGCACGCGCCCCACTGGGTGGCTGCTCTGGGGAGCCCGCTGCAGCGGCGGGAGAGGGAAACCGGCAGAGTTGGACAGGGAAAAGGAAGGAGCCGCTATAAACCCTGTTCCGGTGTCACTGACTGGGGGGAGCCCGCCCAGGGGCTGAGATCAAGGGGACTCCAGCGACACTGCAGGACACCGGGGTTCCTGGGCTCCCAGCCTGCACTGCTGGGGTCCCCACTCGGGGGCTCCCGACGTGCTGACCTGGCCTCCACAGGCAGGGAAGAGGCTGCTGGCTCTGCACTCAGGCAGCTGCAGTGGCTGGTGGCGGGGTGGGACTCTGGGGGGCAGGGGTCTGTGTCCAGCCCTCTGCATGGGCCAGGCACCACTGCCCAGGGCCACACGTCTGGCGGGAAGCTGAGGCAGCCATGTTGGTTGTGGGCCTTGCCCAGAGCTATTGAGCTCCACTGGGAAGGCAGAGGCACTAGCTACGTGCGACCGGTGTGGGCTGGTCCCGTTTGCTCAGCACCACAGACCCCACCCGGCAGGGGCTGCAGGCTCCCAACCCCTGGGAGGAGGAGTCTGGCTGGGGTGAAGGCCAGTGGCCTGCTCTGTGCCCAGAGCAGAGGGCAGCGCGGTGTCCCCTGCTGGGATTTCTGGCCTGGCGAGGGCTGCTGGGGGCTCCTCTCTGTAACCCTGAGCTGGGGGGAAAAGGGGGGGTGGGATAGGATGTCCCCCGTCGCAGGGCTATTTCAGTCCTTGGCACTGAGCTGGGGAACTGGAGCCCCCAGGGATCTGGTGACAGGATGTCGGGCGTCAGCACCATTAACTCTTCCCTGCTTAGTCCCCTGCCCTGTCCGTGGGCTGGTGGTCCCGGCTGCTAGGGGCTGGTCTCTGGAGTCCGGCAGGGCGTGTCTGCCCTCTGCTGGGGAAGAGGGGTTAGTGCCCACCCCATCCCTGTGTTACCCCCTCCTCTATCCACTTGCAGTACTGCCCAGCTCCCCCCCCCCTCCCCTGCAAGCCCTTTGGGCCTGTTTCTGGCAGGAAGCAGGGTGGGGGTGGGATCCTGCAAACGTACCCTCCCCACTCGCCCACAGCTGGATTGGAGGGGAGTCCAGACCCCTCCCCATCTATTGCACAGTGATCTGGCTGGGGACGAGGTGGCTTCTTCTATGCCTCCCTTACATGCTAAAGGGACCCCCCACACACACCATAGGCCCACAGAGAGCCACCCCTCCCATCCATCCGCAGTGCTAAGCAGAGGTCTGGGGGGCGGGGGGGGGGGCTGCCCCACCTTGTCTCCCAGGGAAGGTCCAGCAGAGTCCCCCCAAGCTGGGATCAGTGGACGCTGCAGGGGGAGGCGCAGGGGCTGGAATGTGGATGCTGGGCCTCAGTGATGGCCATCAGCATCACAGGCAGCGGGGCCAGCACTGATCTATGGGGGAAAGCGCCCCCTGCTGAGCGCCTCCCCTGCTCCCCGCAGCGCAGTGCCCCCTACTGCCAGCACTGACCTACAGGGGAGAGTGCCCCCTGCTGCATGCCTGCCCTGCTCCCCACAGCGCAGCGCCCCCTACTGCCAGCACCGACCTACAGGGGAGAGTGCCCCCTGCTGCATGTCTGCCCTGCTCCCCACAGCACAGTGCCCCCTAGTGCCAGCACCGACCTACAGGGGAGAGTGCCCCCTGCTGCATGCCTGCCCTGCTCCCCACAGCACAGCGCCCCCTAGGGACACACTAGGGCTAGCACTGACTGGCCAGCCCCCTGCTGAGCCCTCCACTCCCTGCAGTGTATGGTGTCCTTGGGAGGTGCCCTGTTTCTGGGGGGCGGGGGACATGCTGGCAGGGCATAAATTCATAATAAATCCCTCACAAACTGCACCGTCCCTTTTTTGTACAAACTCGCCCTGACTCCCCTACCCGGAGAGGGGAGCAGTGTGGGGCAGGGACTGTCTCTGTTCTGTGCCTGTGCAGCGCCTGGCACGGGGGCGGGCCAGGGCTGGGCACGTCGGCTGGTCCCCAGGCCCATCTCCCTGGGGCTGAGGCCGAGGGGCAGCGTGGCCGGGGGTTACCTGTCAGACTAGCCCGGCAGGGGAGATGGGTTCTAGTCATGCCTCGGCCAGGCCTTTGCCCCAGCTCTGTGCCTCAGTGTCCCCGCTGGGGAGAGGGCTGGTGGCTGCCGGCTCTGACGCTAGAAGGGCCCAGGGCTGTTCGTGAGGCTCCGGTCGGGACACCCCATGGCAGAGCCCTGTGGGACCCGCACCGCCCCCTGCGCGCTGGAGCCGATTGGCCCAGGCCGATGCTGCCCGTGTCCCGCTGCTGGCCGCTCACGGGGAGCCCGGGGCGGAGCCGGGCGGGTCGCTGGGGCCGGAGCAGGGGGTGGGGGCGGACCCGCCGCTGGGATAAAAGCAGCGGGGTGGGGCGGGCCGGCCGCGGGCGCGGGCGCCGGAGCGGGCGGACCATGGAGCTCATCAGCGTCCAGCAGCTGGTGAGCGGGGGGTGCCCCGGCTTGCCGGGGGGCCAAGGGGCGGCGGAGCGCAGCGCCCGGGGCACCCCCTGTGCGGTGCAGCGGGACGGAGTCCGCGGGGGACGCTGCGGAGCCCTTGGGTCCCGCGGGCTCTCGCTGGCGGCCCTGTCCAGCGCGGCTGCCGCGCTCCACCCCAGAGGTGGCTGCATGGGCAGAAGCCCGGGCCGCGGGGAGGGCGCAGCGGGCCGAGGCTGGGTACAGGGCGGTCCCCGCTGGACTCTCCTTAGGTCGGGGGAGGGGGCCTCTGGACTGACCCCGTGTCCGATGGGGGGGCTGGTTATGGGGCAAATGTCTGCTCCCAGCAGCCCAGCCCCCCCCGGAGAGCGCCACGGTCTGGTCTCCAGGGCGCTGGGCTGTCGCTTCGCTGGGTCCCGATCCCGGCTGGGGACCCCCTCCTGGGCTGTGGCCGCCCATTGCGGTGAGGTGGCAGGTGGGGTCCCCCCCCCCGCTGTTGGGGCTGGGTTTGTGGAGATGTAGCTGAGGGGGGATGCAGGGAACTGTGCCAGGGAGCTGTCCCCCCTCCGGGTCACCCCCTGCCCTTGTGCTCTCCTCAGGTGTCCCTACACGGCGGGTCTGGTGGGATCCCCTTTGCGCCTCCCTACTCGCGTGGGGCTGGGGCATGGCTAACGCACCAGGGCTGGTGTTCGGTGCCACGGGGTCTGTCTGGGCAGCCCCTGGGCTGGTCCCTCTGAGCTGGGCCCAGGCCGCTGTGGGACTGAGCTGTTGCTTTGTAGGTGTTTGCCCTGGTCTCCCCAGGGTGGGCTGGATGCCCCCTGCTGCCCCTGGCACTCTGCAGCCCCTGGCCCTGCAGGCTTGTTGGCGCTTGTTTGCCCTTGGGCAGCATCCGCCACACGTGATGTTTATTTCATGCTGGGCCCACCAGCCCCTGGGGGGGGGTATAAATAGGGGCTGACGCTGGCCAGGGCCGGGACAGGTGCACGGCCGGAATGCCAGCCGCAGCCAGCGGGGCGCCCGGGCAGCAGTGACGGGAGACGGCAGAGCAGGAACTAGACACCCCCCTTCCCCTGGGTGTGCGGGGCCCAGCCAGTGCTACCTGAGCTGGGGAGGCCGAGCCAGCCAGGGAGAGAGTGATCCAGGGAGAGCCGTGCACAGCCCAGGGCCAGGCCTGCCAAGGGCCCAACCTGGGAATGTCCTGTTCCCACTCCAACTCGGCAGAGCTAGGAGTGACAGGGCTCATGGGGAGCTGGGCAGAGCACTTTCAGCCTCCTTCCCAGCGCCCAGCTCTGCCACTGACCCGCCATGACCCCGGGCAGGTCCCTCCCCTGCTCCGTGCCTGTTTCCCAGCTGTAGAGACAGCCTAGCCTCGCAAAACCC